GGGGGGTCGAGTCGGGATATTCCTACAGCTCCTCTTTCCTTTGGATACACTTGTGAAGAGTCATATCTTTCGATTCATGATCCTAAATCATCAGCTATTAGTAGCCTTAGGATTTGAGTATAGAATCTGTATAGATCATCTTCAGGGTGGGCTATAGTGTCAAGGAGTGTTGCTGTATGGCACAGATAGGGTACACAATCGGTCTAGATTAAGATGGGGGACGTCAGGAGGTATACCCTCTTAGGATGTACCCCATCGGGACTTAGCTATCTGCGTGCCCCCCAGGGTGAGGGCCGCCTCACCTCAGACCTGTAGCAGACCCGCTTCTGCAATAACGAGCAACCTTCCCATCTCAACGTGCTCGTGGACGCGTCGCTTTCAACGGAGATCAGGATTTAATTAGCGAGAAAAAAGTCAACTCTGTCGAGACTCGAACCCATGACCTGGCCCTTAGCAGGCTGCTACCCACTAGACAACCAATCAGTTGTACCTATACGAAAGCGGTCTCCACAAAGATCACAATCAACAAGAAGAAGAATCGCCTTGTTCAGGCCGGGTATGTATGTATGGCTGGAAGAGAATGACAAGGGAAAACACGCGCGAGAGCAGACGACGCGCGAAAAAAGTTTCAAAAAGTGGAAGAAGAACGAGCTTTGCTGGGACTGGAACTCGTGATCCGCGATACGTTGTGCGCATACCACGATGTAGTGTACTCTGAAGCACTTTTCGTGCCCCTGTTTATTTGCCCATCATACATGACCCTCATCCAGGCCGGCTGCGAGGAAACCATCGAGGCCACCGTGCGCAAACGGAGGCTGTGTTTTGCGGGCTTCGTTATGCGCATGGAGGACAACCGCCTCCCCAAGCGCATGCTGCTGGGAGCGATGGCGGGGGGTACCGGATACCGGGGCGGGCAGGAGAGCGACTGGGTGTATCGCCTAGGAGAGGACCTCGTGGCGTTTGGCATGAAAGAGGAGAAGGAGGGGGGGAGATGGAAAGAGAGCGCCAAGGACCAGGAGGCGTGGTACGACAAGATCGAGGACGGG